CATCGCCACATTCCTGCACCAGAGCTGAGCTTGGTTTAGGATGGCAGATAGCCCTGAGAGCCGCCTGACTATCCGAGCAGATGTAAATCTTCTGCTCTTGGCTGGAAAACTGTTGAATACTTTCCAAGAGCGTAGCTCTCCCTTATGCCTATTCCTTCTAGGTAAATTCCTGCATCAACATATGTTAACCAAACTATACTCGAAATTTGTTGATGATTCAAACATACCAAATTCTGGATACAAAGGAGTTCTGCATCAGGGAGTCCTCTCATTTTAGCAGGAATAAATGTCAAGATCTGAACTAAATGTATTATGACCTTGTGCTAACAGTGACGACCAAAGTGACGACTTCAACCCAATTCAAAGACAATACTTAAACGTTATTTTTCGTAGGTTAACGTCTACGTCTACCGATTTGAAAAATTCTTTTACCATTAGAAGCCGAAATTATCCCTGATGAACATCGGCTACTTTTTTCCGCGGGAAACTGCTTCAATCCTACGAAAAAACGGGCAATATGACAAGGGGTAGTAAGTATTATCCTTCCGTACTCATCTTTTTCATATAACTTCTAAACGGCTGCACGGTTGAAATTTCATATGGTAGTTCGATGGTTTCCTGAGTGATTTAAAAATACAACTGGACGCGGTAGTTGGCGCTGCTGTCCGTACATCAACTACTAAACGGCTTGACCGATTAGGTTGCAATTTTTAATAGGTAAAGCAAAAACCAAAAATACAAAAGATACTGAGAAAATGAAAAAAGGTGTAAGTAATTATATACCTAATATTAGCTAAAGGTAAGCACACAAAAATAAAAAAGAATAACAACAAAATTTGTACTGTAGATACTCGCATAGCTCAGAACGATTGCAACAAATGTCACATTTTTTTAAATGGGTACACCAACTGTGGGAAACCAGGCAAAAGCATAGAAAATTGGCCCTTAGTGGGGTTTGCCTGAAATTTACATATGTTATTGGTATAGTTTCACTTGCTTAGCTGGATTCCTAGCCTCGCTACGCTCGGCTATGAATTCAGCCTCGGCAGTCAATCTACTATTTTGCTGCCTAGTTGAACAAATAACTATTGTCCAACGGGTTCGTTTCAGTAAATCTGTATTTGCCAAGTGATCCACAAAAAACCGAATCAAATTGCTTTTGTTATATTTTCATTTTTTCTTGACAGATTCCGAGAAATAGTTATTTATGTACCAATAACGACAAACTGTCTATTATAGTCGAATCTGCAGATTGATAGCCGAGGCCTTAACCGAGGTTTGCAATCAGGCGAGACAATAGACAGTTTTTCGCCGAGTTGCATGTATTACATTTTTTTGTCGACCTCAAACACATATCCACATCACGGTCCTATTCCCACGTGAAATCTTTCTGATTTCGTGAATAATTAATTTGGCAACAAATGACAGTTGCTGTCAACTCATTTTCCGCGCGGACCAGGGTAGCCAGTTCGATTTTCATTTAATCAGTGAATACCTTGTCGAAAATTCAGATCTATTTTATGCTATACGAATTCCAAGAAAGGATAATGAATCAAACCTATGACGTCAAAACAATATGTACTTTTGATGAACAGAAAAGTAACATATTACCAACAAACATAATCATAATCCTGATTCTCAATTAATTCAAAAATACTCACAAATATTACGAAATACAGTATACGGAACTTTTAATTATGAGTTGGATAAATAAAAAACAGGAAGGAATAGTAAAAATACAAAACAAATAAAAAAATTTAACGTAAGAAACAAACTGTTATAACTGTTATAAAGTATTTCCCTTTTTTGATTTATACATATCATTAACAGAGCGTGCCGAAAAATCATGGAATTTCAGATCAATATGCAAATGAGATCTACTGAAAATTCAGTAGAACTGGCAAACCTGCGGCGGACGAAAAGTGTTTGCTGACGAAAAGTTAGTGTCTGCGGACGAGAAGTACTTGCCTTAGGAAATAATCGGTTTTTCGTTCGGAAATTATAACGTAAAATGTGATTTTTTGTAGATGTCGACGAAAAAAATATTCATGATGAAAATGGCAATCTCTGGGAATTATTTTCCAGGACGGTCGCTAGAGGATATAATTGCATTGGCTAAATGGAAGAACGGGTTTTTATAAGAATTTGATATATTATCAAGAGATGTCAAATACTTACACTTTTTTCTGTAATTTCAAGTTTCAATTCGGTTAAAATTTTGCGATAGCTTTTCACATGGAAGAGGGAGGGGAAGATGAAGAGAGCTATGGAAAGAATATTATAACTACAGTTTGGTGTAACGTAATTCGACAAACTTAATCTCAGTTCGAGTCGATTTAAATCTCGTGGTGGCCGATTCTCCATTTTTTCTTCATAATTTCGAATAGAACCATATATTTTTCTCATATGAAAGTAAAGCAAACGATGAGAAAAAATTATGGAAACCGCATGGTGATATCTTTTGAGAAACAGAAGATAATATAATCAATGTTGGAGATTATAAATTACATAGGTAGAAAACTAGTAGCGGTAGTGTTTTTCTAGATTTAGATGTTCAAATTATTTTTCATCATTCTTTACATTTTAACTAAGTCCAGTGGTGAAACTAGCATAAGACAAGTAAGCACAATGCGTTAGTACCATAGGGGGGGGGGCATCTCGTCGGACTACACATTCTTTATTCTTAAAAAAACACACAAAACTTGCGAATATGTGGATATTTGAAGCAGTTCCAAATATTTTAGATTGAATATAATTGAAATGTAAGGCATCATATTGGGCAAGAGCGATTGAATTGATTGAAATATTCATTTTCAATTTCCGTCGATAGTGAATAAGCTGCAAACATATTAAAGTATAGATATTTATTTAATTTATGAATTTTGCAATGTAGAGACAAAACTATTTCAGCGTTCAATAAGTGTAGTTAGTTTGAATTTAAAGTTAAACTTATTCAAAGTATTTATTGTTTTTCCTTAATAGAAAGAGAACTTTGAGTTTCATTTCAAACTAAGGAGATTTGAAGTTATTACTTGTCCCAGAATAATCCTCATTGGATGCAGAAAGTTCAATATCAAGGTCGATAGAGTAGGAATGTTTGGTGTGGAATTATATAGGCGGAAAAATAATGATACCTTTTATTTTCATTGAATCTGACAATGGAAATTTTTACCCCAATTTCTTGCCTGATGAACTAACTCTTGAGCTAGAATATGTAGACTAAGAAACTAAAAGAAATATGCATAAAATTCTGCTGTCCCTGTGACGGTCGCCAAACTTCTCCAAAACGGCTTGGATTGGATTCTTATCAAAATGTTTGTGCATACTGGATAGGTCTGAGAATCGGTCGTTAACTATTTTCTAATTGAAAATTCAAGATGGCGAATCCAATATGACGAGTTTTGTTGTCAGATTTCATTCAAAATTGGTATCTGGGGGTTTTCGGGGGTCGGAGATCATGGTTCTTTCAGCAAAATTTGGAAATTCAAAATGGCGGATTCAATAGGGCGAACGAGTTTTCTGATTATGTACTGATTTCATTCAGAATTAGTTTCTGAGGGTTTTTGGAGTCGTATATACTGATTCTTTCATCAAAATTTGGAAATAAGATGGCCGACGTGTTTTCCAGTTATGATCCGATTCTATTCAAAATTGGTATCTGATGCGATATCAGGGATTACGATTCCTTCTCAGAATCAGGAAATTCCAGATGACGGATCCAATATGGCGGACGAGTTTTTCAAATTATGATCCAATTCTATTCAAAATTGGCATCTCAGGTTTTTATGAGTTGGAGATTAAAATTCTCTGGACAAAATTAAGAAATGCAAAATGTCGGATCCAATAATATGGCGGACGAGTTTTGTAAATATGATCCGAATCCATTCAAAATTGGTGTCTAGAAGTCTAATGTCGGAGATTCTCATTCCTTTGTCAAAATTTGAAAATTCTAGAAGGCGAACGAGTTTTGTAATAATGGTCCAATTCTAATCAAAATTGGTATCTGGGGATTTTCGGGGTCGGAGATTCTGATTCCTTAGTCAAAATTAAGAATTTCTAGATTACAGATCCAATATGACGGACGGGTTTTGTGATTATGATCCGATTCCATTTGAAATTGTTATCTAGGGGTTTTCATGGTTGAAATTTTTTTCCTGTCAAAATTGAAAATCCAATATAGCGAATGATGAGCATTGTAATGAATAGTAGAAAAACTAAAGAAACAGGCTTTTATAGATAGTCGAACTATAAGGAAGTAGAAAATTAGTAGTAGTTCAAAAAATTGCAGTGATATATGCTGACCTAAAAAGAAGTAGAAAATGAAATAATAAAAGTATGTTGATGTTTATTTGACCAAAAAAATATTTTCTAGAAATGATAAAGTTACAACAAAATCAATTTGATTGGGTTTTTGCGGATTTTTGTGGATCACTTAACAAATACAGTTTTACCTCAAGTTCTACTATAACGGCTCTGTATGACATTACAGAGGATTTGTGCTAAGAGACAAACGCTAAGATTTTGCAATATTTCTTATTTAATTGAATTCTGATATTAAATAAAGAAATTATGGACTTGAAATAAGTGTCATTGTTTATTAGACACCTATAATAAATGTAGCCCTGAGAACTAAATCATTGGTAGAATTGGGCCCATGAGAACATATGATCAGAGACTCTATACCACTAACATAACAGGCAAAACCCACTGAGGGCCAATTTCCTATGCTTTTGTGTGGGGTCCTTCATTCAAGTTCTTAGTTCTCTTGCAATGTTTATAGGAACCAAATTATATGACATGTAAAAATTTCAATTGACTGCTATTAGGGATGATTTTCATACCCTATAGTACCTGTTAGTGCAATATGATTAATGTTATTCAGGACATACTGTGTTTTTAGCACCTGTCTATTTTTATTTCATGCAAGAATGTAAATGACAATTCCTTCCATGTACACTAATTTTTGTATGACTTAATTGGGTTGACTAAAGTGATCTTACCATCAATTTCAATTTCATGGCGTGTTGCAATCACAGACTCTATTTTACACATGACAAATTCTGTTATATCATCTTCACTGTCAAAGCAATGTAATGTTTCACAGACATTACTGAAAAGCCATTCCCAGTCTTCCAGTATTTCTTTTCTTGTCAGCGAACAAGCCACCACTGAAAAGTCATTCATTATTTTTCTGCAGATATATTTCACAAAGACACACAACACTTGAAATCTAACTTTGAGTGAAAATCTCAAGACAAAGCTAGGTGCCTACTAATAAATAAATAAATCATCAAAATTCATTAAAATTCTCATGTCCTGAATATTTTTACTATAATTCATCTTGGTTATTACTCACAGTAATATAATTCTGATGTAGGAGTTTGATGCAAAATTCTGTAAGGTGCTGGTTTAGTATCAAAAATGCTATCCATGGTTCCCACAAGTAGTGATGAAATACCTTTGGAATTTCCATGTCCTTTTCTGTGTTGTAAAACAAAGTAAATTGAAGTTTTTTCCGTTTCCCTGAAAAATGAAAACAGAACAATAACAACTAAATTCTGAAATGTATCTTACTAGTAAATTAATCAATTTACCAAAATGCATTGGCTATCAAAACTTCTTGAGGCTTCACAAACATTCCGATTCACTTGAAGAGTAGGAAAATATTGATAAAATACAAGTTTCCTAATGAAAGGGAAAGCTGGGTATCATTATGAAGGCAAACAAAACTTGAACCATAGCATCAATAACAGGAAATAAGGATTGTTTGAACACTACAACAGAAATCCAAGGAAGTTTAATTGTATTAGTTCATAATTCACTTGTTGCTTTGTTTATTCATTCTTGAACTGATAAGATAAATGATAAGAAATATTATTAAAGAACAATACAATCACACAACTGACATCAACCATCATTATTACCATCAACAAAAGTATTGACAGAAATGACAGATAAAATTCGACTGACGTTTCTCCGGCGGTGGAATGTCAATGAGACCAATCACATCATTGACATATTGACAGCCAAGTTAGCCCAAGGAGAGTTCTTCTTCTTCTTCTTAACTTCCTGGCCTCTTGTCATATGACATACAGCCAATTAGGCACTTTTTCTGAAGGGTGCACAGTCATCAGACTATGCATCTGGAGTCAAACACAAGCGTCTATAAACACCGGAGGCTCTCTGCATCCGATGATGTCCGATCATGGTCGGACGTCGCCGCTGATGCAGAGCACGCGCCAAATTTAAAAACATAATAATAATCCATGGAGTATCAAGTTAGTGATCGAGTGTAATGTTTTGGAAAAATTATGCAAAGTATTTTTTTGTTTCCGAATGAGATGCTTATATTGCGAGAGCTAAACATTGCAAAGGCCTCACATGTTTTTTTTATATCAGGACAAAATTGACACAATAAACACAACTTATTTACTTATTAATTTTTTTGTGTGGATACATCAGATTTATTGCGATATTATCGGCGTCCATATCATCTGGATGTATTAATTTGTTACTAAATAAGTCGTTTATTATAGGAACAGCTTTTTTGATTGTTCGGTATAAACGTCTCTGTTGAGTAACTTTTTTATTTTGATGCGTTTCAGATGGTAACTTGTCGGAAAATGCCATACTGGTTTTCTCCCTCCTCATCGCTATAAATGTGACTATACTATCAACGAGTTTAATAAGCTCTAGTTTGAATTTTTCTTTTCAGGAATTCTATTCATTGGTTTCTCTTTTTTCTTTACCAATTTTTAATGCTTCCAGAATCTTCTGCTGGTCAGAAAATCACAATCAAAGCTCTCGTTGATTATTGAATTTCTCTCATCTATAGGAAAGAATGAAAAGGTTGAATATAGAGGTACCTACCTATACTTAATAATAGTTAATGTTGAAATGTCTGCACATCTAAAAACGCCTACATGAGCATCAGGTCTTTTATATCGAAAATGATCACACTATGTAGCCATAGCCATAACCAAGTAAAATACCTGAAAAAAACCTATTCATTCTTTAGGCTTGCAAGTAATTCGATGTAATGTTCATGTGCTAGGTACGCACATTTTGAAAACTTGCAAATTGTGGATACTTGGGCCTGTACAGGCCCCAATATTCTGACATATTTTTCGACTCAGAATAGATATAATGAGCTAACAATAATGCATACAAGGTGACCCATCAATAACTTGACTTAAACTTGACATAAGGGTGTAATTGATAAAATACAGGGTGTATTTTAAATGATGACTTTAATTTCAGGTGGTGATTCCTTGTCATATTTCATGACAAAAAGTTACTATAAACGTGTGTCCTAACTTGCTCCGTTTCCGAGTAACGGGGTGTCCAAAGTTTAATGAAAAAGTAAAAAGTAACAGAGAAGCACAGACATTGATTGCATAACGATAACGTTTTGCTATTAATTTCCAATAATATCAAACTCAGCAACAACATCAGCGTACAATAGTTACTACAGTGAATATCACACACCACTGGAAACAAAATTCAAAATCTACTTCCATGAAAACAAGCTATTACAAATCACAAACACACGAAGTTTAATCAAAATCGGCGAACAGTATTTTGAGTAATTCATGAAAAACCGACATTTAATTCAACTTTGGACACCCCGTTACTCGGAAACGGAGCAAATTATAGGACACACGTTTATATGAACTTTTTGTCATGAAATATGACAAGGAATTACCACCTGAAATTGAACTCATCATTTAAGATACACCCTGTATAATGATAGTTCTAGCTACGACGTTGTAAAACGATTGATTACAAATAGGGCACCAAGTCATTCTGGATTTCTGGTAAAGAAGCAAACAATTCGAAAAAATACAATGCCAAAATCCATTCATACACGCAATAACCACAAATAATAAGAAGTAGCTGGGTGAAAATCAAACGCGCGCGAAAGGCAGCTGCGAATGATCCGAAGGTGATCGGACATCATCGGATGCGGAGAGCCTTCGGTGTTTATAGACGCTTGTCCAAAATCCATTCATACACGCAATAACCACAAATAATAAGAAGTAGCTGGGTGAAAATCAAACGCGCGCGAAAGGCAGCTGCGAATGATCCGAAGGTGATCGGACATCATCGGATGCGGAGAGCCTTCGGTGTTTATAGACGCTTGTGATTCACAATCCATGAGTCCATGCCCTTCATTGGGTGGAATCAATTATAATGATGGGGTAGGATGTGGGTAAAACAAAGGTATTTTTACTCTTCTCGCTCTGTGGTGTGTCCAGAGCATTTACACATGGGTTTGCACCAGGTTTTGTGATGAGGTATATTTTGGGATGCTGTTTCTGTGAATAATAAGAGAAAAGTATAACATTATCAATCTGGGGTTGTTCATGGTTTTTTTTCATGCTACTGTCATGCAAAGCGTGATAGGAGTGGGAGTGGAGGAGTATATTTCCAAAGAGGTGATATTTCCAAAGATATTTCTATAGGTGTCTGCAGATGTTTTGTCAAGTTAGATGTCCTGACTATGGTGAAAATTTTGAAACGTGATGTGGTAATTTATTTCATTCAAGATTACAGACCATTTTGAAATAAATCGGTCATTATGATTGATTATTATTCACCACCTGTCAATGATTTTGAATCAACAAATATCTGTGAGAGGTGTGAAAACAAGAAACAATTGTAGTGGTCATGAGTGGAATTTTTAATGGATCTTGACAAATATTCACCAAAACTTAAATAAAAAACATTAATAACCTCTTAAACTTCGATGTTTTCCCACTCCACCACCTGTGTTGGAGGTTCAAACCGTTTATTTAGAAGTTTTTGAACCTGAATGAACCGTATTACTTGGGGATGTCATAACTTACTCAAGAAAATGCTTGATTTCAAATTGTTTTCAACACGGTCGTTCAACATAAATATAGTTATTTATGTATCAAGGGCGTAAAGTAGGCGTTCATGGCCTGCGGCGTGAATAATAGACCGATGAAGTTAGCTAAGGGCCATTACACGTCAAAGAGGCTATAAACGCATTTTACGCACGTGATACATACAAAATTGTATGCATGCACTAGTATTTCCCAAGTCACAAGTAATGACTAGATTTCAACAAACTACAATTCATATGTTACTCATGAATTATTCAGTTTTCAGGAGAAGCGCAAATGTTCATGTGTATAATCTACATATTGAAATTCATTGAGAATCATTACTTGAGATGTAACAATATATGTATATCCAGTATATAGCTACCCAAATTTGAACGTTATCTATCAGTCTAATGGTTGCTGCCCAGTTAACACAGGATATCTTATGGATATCCATTTCAAATCCTATATTCAAGGCGGGATACCCGTGGACATAAAATGTATATCCATAAGATATCCGCCAATTGCGGATGTTCTTGAGATATCTGAAACAAACGTGCTGAATACGTCCATAGGATATAGCCATGATCTCTGCAGAGACGAAAGATCAATACATAGGAATTTCAAATCAAGTATATACAACGAATGAAATGATAATAAATAAAAGGAGATTCACAAAAGTGACACTTGTGCGTGGGTCTTCCAAAAGATATAGCACACATTGTGATGCACTATCTCCTATTATTATTAATTTGGTTATCAAAAACAGCGCGAGGTGGCGTAACGTCTCAAATAGTCCAAGATTGGTAGAGCTGATGATTTTTTATAGATCATCGATTCTACCAACCTTGGAATAGTCGAATAATGTCAATCTGTTCTCATATTTAATTAATTTGAAGCAAATTTTGGAAGTGATTCCTACGAATTCGTCCAAGATTGATGATGCATAAGAACTGACAACTACATTATTCGAACGCAGTGAGACGTGAGTGCTCTCCAATTCTTGTGATTTTTTCTATATATACAGGGTGTTTCATAATTGAATGTCAATATTTGGGGACGCAATTCTTGGGCCCATTCTAAGAAGAAAGTTTCATATGAACGTATGACCTAAACATCCTAACTTTTGAGATACAGGGTGGTAAAGTTCTCAAAAATTAATAGTTTTTTATTAATATCTGTAATACCACTTCAGATATTCTGATGAAATTTGGCATACATGTACTATGTATCAAGAGGCATCAGTTAGCGTACCACATTTTTTGTTGTTGCCACCAGTGGCGTTCGTATGGAATTTCACATACCTATTTTGGCAGACATTGATGGTACGCCACTGATTAATCTCCAAATTGAAATCATTCCTGAAATTCCCGATCATTTCTAAGCAAATTTGATCACTACAATTTTTTCAATCTGATGCACGGTTTTCGCTTAAAAATAAAAAGCTTTTCACTACATGATTATAGTAATATTGTTAATATGATAATATCACAATGCAGAGAAATAGTTTTTATTTTTAAGATCAAATTTCAGAAATACAATTCATAGTTCATGAACTTTGTATTCGTATTTGGTATTTTCGAATTATAACTTCTCATTGTAGTAGGCTATATTAATTTTCGAGAATTTTACCACCCTGTATCTCCAAAGTTGGGACGTTTAGGTCATACGTTCATATGAAACTTTCTTCTTAGAATGAGCCCAAGAATCGCCTCCTCGAATATTGACATTCAATTATGAAACACCCTGTATAGAGGGTATACTATCTCTTATCCATATCCATAGTTGATATCTTATTATTATGGATATCCATAATGAATATCTTTAAGAGACATCCAAAAAGGTCACACTGTCAAATCCTATATGGACGTCCATGGGATATACCAGAGTCATTTTCGGATATCTTATGGACATCCACAATATCCAAGATGACTATCCAGAGTATATATATATATCCATAAGATGTATTTGTGCTATCTTGGTGTCTAGCAATAAACATTCAAAAAACGAGCTAAAATTGTCATCTTTTGGCTGAAAATTGTACCAGACAGCCAGAAAGCAACTATTCAAAGAAGGAATTTATAGCGAAGATGGAATAAATCGGATGAACAATAACATATGTATCATAATCATAACGATAGAATCAGCTGGGAGTTCAAATATAGGTATTCCACAAACGGACGTGTGGATATAAGGGACTTGAGAACAGCGGGCGGTAAAGTGCACTTCATGGCCCGTGGGCGATAATGGGTCCGCGGGCGGTAAAATACCACTTTACATCCGCAAATCTGGGCGATAAAGTGCACTTTACCGCCCGCTAGTGCATGAAGCTATTTATATTACGTAATATGTGTTGTAAGAAGCATATTATACGCACGAATGAAGAAGTTACTTTCGTAGACTCGGAGCGGCGGGTGCGTAATTCCATGAGTGCGTAATTGCTTCACAACACACCTACTGCCATACATAGTACATCAAAAAAGTTTGGACAAACATTCTGAATTATAATTCTTGACATAGTTATGTCATCCGCTGTTGACGGCGATTACGCGATCATGACTGGCGGAATAAACGAAAACTGTGCGATGTGCATGTTTACAGTACGTAAAAAGCTATTTACTGAGGCTGTATCTTGTGTGATCTTGCCTACTTTCTATAGTGGCCATAGCAAAAATTAATAATTCAGCGGGAATCTCCCACATTCATGATAGAGTGTGTTTCAGTTCAATGTGATAGACATTTAGGTTCCTATATATTTATATAGCCTACTTGAAAAAACGCAAGCAATGTGAAAGCGCTGCACAGCTGCTTCTCGATCTAGAATCATTCTCGATTCTCTATTAAATCAATAAATATATATATATTTTGCGAATAGGTACTTAATTAACTAGATTTTTGCAAAAACTGACCAGCTGCAGCTGCTTTTGGGTCAGAAGAATGGTGATTGTAGGAATATGCTATCAAATAATTCCTTTCTTAATCGTATGGTTGACCCAATAATATATAAGGAAAATCGGAAATTTCGAGAATAAATTTATTTTCAATACTTTTGCAGGAAACTGCTCAGAGTTAATGTTTTTGGGTCAGATTTCAGGTCATGTGTGGAATATCATGCTATCGAAAAATAATTCCTCATTGTCAAATCGTATATATGGTAGACTGGTACACGCAAAAAATAGAAATTTCAAAAATATTTCTTCGTCATTTTTGCAAAATATACTTTCTATAGCTGCTCCCAATAAGCCAGGAAATAATGATATATAGTTGAATACGATATATAGTTGAATACGTCTATGATATATTATCAAAAAATAATTCCTTGAGGAATAGTATGTTTGACTACTCGGAAAAAAAGGGAAATTTCGAAAATCATTTATTTCAATTCTTTTGCAGAAAACTGCTCAGCTGCTTATTGGCCAGGAATGATCATCATGCTCTTAAAATTTAATTCTTTGCCAAATCTAAATCGAATGGTAGACTCTAGGTACACAAAAAAAACGGAAATTTCGAGAACAAATGATTTTCAAAACTTTTGCAAAAAACTGCTATCAACTGCTTTTGGGTCAGGAAGATAGGTGAATCAGTCTAGAATCATGCTTGAAAAATAATTTAACGCCTAATCTTAACTATAGTAGACTATACCACGGCAAAACAAAGAATTTCAAAAAAAAGTCCATACTTTTGCAAAAATCTGATCATCAGCTGCTCTTGGGTGAGGAAATAGGTGAATACGTCAGACGTCTAGTCTCTATAAAATCATATGCTATCAAAAAATATAGAAAGATATGGGTAATCATATAAATATATCAACTAGAAAATATACCTACCAAATACTCAAAAGTGGAACCAACCTACTACTCTTTGGTGGAACACAATGGTCACAAAGAACTCAAAGTCATTACCACAATAGTTCATAAAATGATAGATAACGATCTGGAGATGAACAACTACTTTCCTAGTGGCTATATGCCAGGCAGAACATTGTATTACATCCGCTCGAAATCTATGCAATACTTTGTATAGGCGAATAAAATCGCAAGTGTTTTCTTCCTAGACGCGCAGTTGCGCTTAAGGCTTAAGTGGTTCAGGAACGCTGTTGGCTCTCATACCAGATAGCTTCTTGACCGCTATCTGGTGAGAAACTGACTCAACCAGAAGCGCATCTCAGCATTTATACCACACACGATGAGGCGTGCAACGTCCGCGAAATGAACGCGAACGCTGAAACGCCACCTGGCAAGGAAATAAACACTCCAAGACAATCTCCCATTTTAGGTGAAATGGGATATAGTGGCTGGTTGCCTGATTGGCGTATTTCCAACTATATATAGGAAAATACTAAATACTCAAAGTGGAACACAATATGGTCACAATAAAGAGAGAAACTCAAAATTATCTACTTTGTCAAACAAACAGAAATCATCAAACACAATTTCTTTGCCAATACTGCGATCCCAAAAACTTCAGCAAAACTTAAGAAAACGGATTAGGCATTTTTAACCAAAATTTTGAAAATGGCAATCGATTCCGACTAGTCACAAATACTCACATATCAATTTTCAAACAATATTTCATATAAGGGGTGTTTTTTTTTCAACGTTACAGAAATTTTTGAATAGGTAATTGCATTTTTCAAGCAATCGTGCATAATGAAGTTCTCATGAGAATTTTAATGATACCTTTCAGGCATGATGGTAGACAGGATCAGATCATGTCTACAGAGTTAGATGACTAACGAATAAAATCCTATAGAAATTATAAAATTTACTATCAGAGAAATTGAGAGAAGTAGTAAAAACTAAATAGGCAAGTAATACCAATAAAAATTTTGAAAAAAAAAATACTAGAACAGCAAGCATTCCTAACAACTTCAGATTTTTGTATTCTCGAATCTCGATCAAAAACTTTCACTCAATCAAGGCGGGTGTAAACCTTCGAACTTGAACGATGAAAACTTGTAATTTTTATAGACTTTTAACAAAGATTACTGAATGACTTTATCTTCTGTAGTCTATGCTTTTTATAGGTAGGTTTTCTCGATTCAGGATTTCTTTCCACGTCCTGTATGATGAATACCAATTTGTCATACATCCAAAAGCATATGATTCTAGTTTAATAATTCCTTTTCTCCGAAAGCAGCTGTGATTTGTTTTGCGGAAGTATCGAAAGTGCCGAACGACTTCGCTACATCACAACATCCTTATCACAACACAAACAAAAACAATTATTATTGGTTATTGGTTATAGGTTGCAAGAACTGTCAGATGACCGACCCTGGGGGCAAAACATATTTGTTTACAAGTGATCGAAATAGTTTTCCACAATTATTTTGGCATAATTATGAATCGTATTTTTCCGCAATTCATCAATTCGCTAATGCCATCACATTGTGCTGTTGTAAAATGCACAAAAACTGCAGTGGAAGATGAAGAAATCCAGATGGTACATTATGATTCAAAAGTAAGTACCTACTATAGTCACTCACATAGTTTTCATTTTTGAAATTTGGTTATTTCTCTGATTTCTCATCGGAATTCCTTCTGCAATAGGATCAGCTAAAAGAAATATACCTGAAATTTCTAGAATAATGCAAGAAGATTGGATTCATGCAATCAATCGGTATAGGACTGGTCTGACATGCTGACGATCGTGTGTGTTGTAGACATTTTCAATCTATTAGCAGCATTAGCTTGTATTGCAGAAGTAGCAGAAGGCATAAAGAATTTCAATAAGGAATGACAACATTTCATAATGCTAACTATGTGAGATTACTATTTACCTGAAAAATCATATTCCCTAATCTCTTGCTGCATTTTTTGTGCATTGTACAATAGCACAATGCGAAGGCATGCTTGAATTAATGAATAACGCAAGAAACACGATTCGTATGCCGAAATATTGTGAAAAACTATTTCAACCTTTTGATTCCTCTGTAACCAAATAAAAAAGTGAGGTTGTGTTTCAATAATTCACAGAAGAATGAGGTTGTGTTTCAATATTTTGCCTCCAGGGTCGGTCTTCGTGCACGCGACCTATTGGAGAAATTGTGATATATTATTCGATATCGATACCCGAACAACGTTCGGGTACAGAGACTGCATTGCGCGCGCCACTGATCATTCGGGAAAGTTCGGAAATTTTGGCAGCAAACCTTTGCAGCCCATCTCACGTATTTCGGGTCTAGGGGTCCAGGCCGGTATTGCAGCAAAGAACTCAAAGAAGAAGACGTGAGAAACCTTGAGTTTTTCTTCGGGTTTCTTAACCTAACTTTTACTTGACCCCACTACCCCATGTTTTTCTTTTGAGTTTCAATTTAATTCTGAAATAAGTACATCGCCTTTATTATAAGAAATATTTCTAAAGATTATAATTCCTATTCCCACTCTTTGAGTCATGGCTGGATCAAGAAAGAAAACTCGTAGGCCTTCAAAATCAGAATCTGATAACTCTGGCAGTGATGGTGAAGAAAGTGAATCAGGAACTTATCAAGGACAGAAGGTATGTACGATTCAAAAATCTCATACTTTACAAACTGGTACATGATTATAGGTATATAGGTGGTACATTTCAATCTAGATTTTGATTCAATTGAAAATTTGAACTTTATGAGGAGCAGCTCTATGACCAGAAATATATATTTTAGGAATTTAGGTGTTAATGTAATCATGATTATTATTTTCAGGAAATTCAGGCAACTTTTGAGGGTCGTAATCCAGAAGGACATGATTTCCATGGTATAAAGCAGCTATTGAACCAGTTATTCTTGAAGGCACACATTGATCTTTCACAGATGACTGATCTTCTGATTGCTCAGCATGGAGTTGGGTCAGTATTGAAACAGAGCTATGGTGATAGTGATGATGAAGATGAAGATGTTGAGATGACAGAGGAAGGAGATGTGTTTGGGATTACTAGTGTTGTTAATTTAGGATCACACAAGGTATGTGAATAAATGGTCAAGTTTTGTTATCATTTTATTTTTTATTTGATTTCAGGAAACTCCATGTATACAACAATTCTACTCTTTGCTTGAAGAACTTTGCAAAAAACATGCAGATCAAGCCACACAGGCTAATATTCAGAGGATTTTGAAAGAATATAGAAGAGTAGGATTTTTGATAAATGAGCGTTTTGTGAATATTCCAGCACAAATTTCTGTTGCTATGCTCAATTCTCTTTATGATGAAATACAAAGGATGAAGAAAAAGGATGCCAGTTATGAATTTGAGTACTACATTATGATTTCCAAAACATGTATACCTAAAGATAATAAAGGTGAGCATAATTTGATTATTTTAGAATTTGTCATGGATTTTTTCACAATGACAACAAGCATAACTGACATAACATATTTTGGTCAGGAAGGTACTCTATTATGAGCTCATGAAAAGTCAAAATTTATTTTCGAACTGTTTTCTTCAATATATTATCAAGTGTAAACATGAAAAGACCCAAAAAAATTCTTTCTTCTTTCTTTCTGGACATAAAAAACATGCTGAATTTGAAAATTAGTCATCATGATTTGATTCATGATCAAATGAAATCCAAACATTATATCAAGCTCCACAAAATCTGTAAGAAATAATGAAACAGGTAAAATGAATTAAAAAACTATGAATTCTATAGTTATGTACTTTTTTATTGGGATAGATAAAAATATTCTCATTTATTTACATTGATATAATTGTTTCTGAATAAGATTCACATGGCATTTTATATGGGCTCCATTTACACAATGGTGGCAGTTTGTTTATTTTTATGAGCAGGAGATTGGTAAAAATGATTTTTTTTTAAATGTCTGGAAAGATTGGACAACATTTGGCAATTTTGTACAAAGAATGTGTTCAAATTTGATAAGGGGATGGCTATGTGCAATTTATGCATCATTCGATTATGAATATAATGTTCTGAATTAACACATCAACTGCCATGTGTATCTTTGGGTTCACACAGTGGCTTGGCCCAGGTCGCCACATGTATATTCCAGTATACATATGCGTTCATCAATGATTTGCTGTTCGCCATGTGTATGCTAGAGTAGCAGGCATTATGTGCATTTCTTGTGGGATATGATTTGTCCTGGCCTAGGGAGATGACAAAATAATCTTAGTTTGGGTTTTCGATCAGAGTTGAATTATTTTTCAAGGTATATTCTTCTTTCTCATTGTGGAATGAAAGACACGTGGCGTGAGCAACCCACACATCGAATTTGGCGTGGCAGTCAAAGTGTTAAGTATGATTTCTCTGGAAATATATATTCAAAGCCTATGATATAATTGAACAAATACTTATATATGAAACATAAAAAAGAAGGCACAATCCTTTTGATATTTTTTGCTGACATTCCAAAGTCATCCCCTCTCATCTGCAATTGTTTGGAACCAGAGCCAGACTGAATTAGTTTACTCAGAAACAACAGAAAATAATGATGATATCAGTAACCTGAATTATATTATCCAAATAGGTGTATGGTTTGTTTTCTTGCCTACTTGTAAGCCACTAAGTGATTTATGAAGTCAAATAGAAACAATTCAAAATGTATTTATCTTTTTAAAAGACAGGACTATTATCTCCTTATACAACAAGAATTGAGGGATGCCAAATATTTGTGATCTATTTTCCTGAAAACCGTTACATTGTGAAATTTAGGAGGAAAAATCTCATAAAACACGCTGCCAATTCAAACTCATACAAATTTAATTTGGAATCAAAAATATTCAATTCTTTATCACTAAAATCAGAGCCCTCCTCACTATCCCGTACTTTCCCAGATTTTTGGAAAAACTCTTATGTTGTGCCAATTTACAAGAAGTCAGGAAGAAAAGACTCTGTATTAAATTATCGCCCAATCACAAAGATATCGCTCATACCCAAAGCATTTGAATCTATTGTAAATGATTTTCTGAAGTTTAAACTCAAAAATATCATCAGCTCAACACAACATGGCTTCTGCCAAGAAAGATCTATCACTACAAATCTTTTACTCTATGAGACCTACATTGTCGATGCCTTGGAGAAGGGACTAAGTGTTGATGCAGTTTACACAGATTTCTCCAAGGCATTTGACAAGGTAGATCATAATTTGCTTTTTTTTGAGTTGTCCAAATACCTTGGAGGCAGTTTGTTGGCATGGCTAAAATCCTATCTAGATAATCGCAGGCAAAGAGTTAAGATTAATTCCTCCTTGTCAGATGAAATTGTAATCACTTCTGGAGTTCCTCAAGGTGCTCATTTAGCACCCTTACTGTTCAATTTATTTGTTAATGATGTATCTTCTTGCTTTAAATTCAGTTCAATATTATTATATGCTGACGATATGAAAATATATCTCAAATTGGAGAGACCCTCCTCCTCAACTCATCTTCAAGAGGACTTGGACAGGTTCTCTGTGTGGTGCCACAAGAAAAAACTAGTTCTTAATATTCCAAAATGTAAATATATTCGTTTCAGCAAAAATCACAGCATAATTAACAATGATGAGTACTCCTTAAATGATGTAGTCATTGAAAAGGTAGACATTATGAAAGATCTTGGTATACTTTTTGACTCTAAACTTAGCTTTATTCCTCATATAGGTCGCGTGCACGAAGACCGACCCTGGAGGCAAAATATTGAAACACAACCTCATTCTTCTGTGAATTATTGAAACACAACCTCACTTTTTTATTTGGTTACAGAGGAATCAAAAGGTTGAAATAGTTTTTCACAATATTTCGGCATACGAATCGTGTTTCTTGCGTTATTCATTAATTCAAGCATGCCTTCGCATTGTGCTATTGTACAATGCACAAAAAATGCAGCAAGAGATTAGGGAATATGATTTTTCAGGTAAATAGTAATCTCACATAGTTAGCATTATGAAATGTTGTCATTCCTTATTGAAATTCTTTATGCCTTCTGCTACTTCTGCAATACAAGCTAATGCTGCTAATAGATTGAAAATGTCTACAACACACACGATCGTCAGCATGTCAGACCAGTCCTACCGATTGATTGCATGAATCCAATCTTCTTGCATTATTCTAGAAATTTCAGGTATATTTCTTTTAGCTGATCCTATTGCAGAAGGAATTCCGATGAGAAATCAGAGAAATAACCAAATTTCAAAAATGAAAACTATGTGAGTGACTATAGTAGGTACTTACTTTTGAATCATAATGTACCATCTGGATTTCTTCATCTTCCACTGCAGTTTTTGTGCATTTTACAACAGCACAATGTGATGGCATTAGCGAATTGATGAATTGCGGAAAAATACGATTCATAATTATGCCAAAATAATTGTGGAAAACTATTTCGATCACTTGTAAACAAATATGTTTTGCCCCCAGGGTCGGTCATCTGACAGTTCTTGCACGCGACCTATTGAATTTATCTGTAACAAAGCTTTGAAGATGCTAGGGTTCATCAAACGATCAACAAAGGACTTTCATAATATCGTGGCATTGAAAACCCTTTACTTTTCATTGGTACGCTCGCAACTTGAAAATAGCAGCTCTGTGTGGTGTCCTGCCTTCCAAGCTCATATCATGAAAATAGAAAGAGTTCAGAAACGTTTTTTGCGTTATATTGGTTTCAAGCTCGGTATTTCTATGGAGGAATTTGATTATGACAATATTTTAAATCGCCTAAACATAAAAAGCCTAGAAGAGCGTAGAAGCAACAATGACATCATCACTATTCAAAAATTATGTAATAATCACATTGATTGTCCTGAATTATTGGCCTCCCTAAAATTTCATGTTCCTCAAAAACGATTACGTTATAGCAGCACTTTCAATTTAGAAACTCATAGAACTATATATGCAAACAATAGCCCGATAAACAGGATGATGATGCTGAGTAACAGAGTGAACTGGGACATTTTTAACACTGGCACTGAAAGAGCCAAACGCATTCTTGCAATAATGTAATGTTTTTATTTGTAATGTTCATTGTATTTAAAGTGTAGATATGTATAAATCAATCAATGGTCTGTGATATGTTGTATAGGCTATATATATTCATGTTTTTTTTTACACTGGGTTCACCCGTTAATAAATAAATAAATAAATAAATAAATAAACTATCATCTGCCAAAGATAATTAATTGATTCTGAACATTCAGATGGGTAGCACCCAGATTTCTATGTCTAATATTCTTGGAATTTCCAACCTTCATTCACTTTTTTATGCCGATCGGCAGCACTGACCTTTCCATTTATGTGGTTATTTAAGATATGACTTTAGGGTCGAAATTTGGGAATTTATTTCTTCTATGGGTCATTTTCTTCAGTTGTCTTCAAATTGATTTTATAGGATAAAAAATACGAAAATATGTGGGCAATCTGAAAACCATATGATATATAATTTTTTTTGATAATTTCATCTATAGATAGATAGATAGATACTTTATTCGTTTTCCATTCAAAATATTCACATCTGGAATATAAATAAACAAACATGAATTTTATTTTTGAACTAGCAAAGTCTCTTTTTAAAAACAATTTATTTGTCAAAGTACAAAAGCAGAGAGCGAATTTTATGAGATGTTTATCGTACAAAGTTATAAATCTGACTGAAAGTTGGAATGAACAAATGCAACAAGATGATTTTGAAGAGTCAGCGAAATCTAAGAGGTCCCTGGGAACGTCGGTGCAGAATCTTCAGTTCTTAGGAAGCTTATGGGAACCGGTGATATAATTCCTCCCCTCGAAGTTTCAACTTATGCAGTGGAGCAAGGAATTTGAACCTCTGCCAAATTTATCCCTTGGTTTCGGTCGTTAGAGTTCTTGATTCGTCGGATGATATTCAGATTTCTGATGATTAAATATGTAATACCAGATGCTACGAGGATATACAGGATGATGGTCCAAATAGAGGGAAGATGAGAAATGTTGGTATTCTGTAGGTCTGGTTGGTTTTCGATGATTTTCTTCGTTATAAGGTGAAGATCGTCCAAATTTGTTTCTTCTAGGTGGATGGCCCAATTTTGTTTCCTCTCGAGGCTTTGATTCAGTTGTGGAAAGAGAATCAATTGACGTTGACTCATTGATTCCTCGTCATTGGTGATTTGTTCGGTGTTGGTTATAACTTGACATCCAACAGGAATTTCTATGACGTATGAACCTAGTAATCGTAGGAATTCCTCTTGTTTTCGGCACTTCAGACTGACCATCTCTTCATGTGGAAATACGGCTATCCATTGTTTGGATTCCAGTTGTCTAATGATAGGCTTTGAAATTCTGACCGGGACTTGTTGACAGTTTGAAGGGTGTTTCTTATCTAGAAGTTGG